ACTAGAACTCACTGTGTCCTGGTGATTGGTCCTAAGTCACCCAGCTAGCTTTCGTGCCTAAGGCGGGACTAGAACTCACCGTCGCCTGGTGATTGGCCCAAAGTCACCTAACAGGCTTTCATGCTTAAGGCGGGACTAGAACTCACCGTTGCCTTGTGATTGGGCCAAAGTCACCCAGCTGACTTTCATGCCTAAGGCGGGACTAGAAGTCACTGTCTCCTGGTGATTGGCCCAAAGTCACCTAACAGGCTTTCATGCCTAAGGCAGGACTAGAATTTATCCTCGCCTGGTGATTGGCCCAAAGTCACTCAGCCAGCTTTCATTCCTAAGGCGGGACTAGAACTCACTGTCGCCTGGCGATTGGGCCAAACTGACCTAACAGACTTTCATGGCGGGACTAGAACTCACCATCTCCTGGTGATTGGCTCAAAGTCACCCAGTCAGCTGTCATGCTTAAGGCGGGACTAGAATTTATCCTCGCCTGGTGATTGGCCCAAAGTCACTCAGCCAGCTTTCATTCCTAAGGCGGGACTAGAACTCCCAGTCTCCTGGTGATTGGTCCAAAGTCACCTAACAGGCTTTCATGCCTCAGGCGGGACTAGAACTCACCCTCGCCTGGCGCTTGGCCCAAAGTCAGCTAGCTGGATTTTGTGCCGAAGGCGGGACTCGAACTCGCCGCCGCCCCGTTTGTAGCCTGGGGGGCCTTTACCGCTAGTCCTGATTGCCCCTGAGTTCCACTCTGAAACCACAGAGCTGTTTCCGTTCTAGCGAAGGAAGGTCCTTCCCATTACGATATGTATGCCAGGCTCCCCGGTTCTGAAGATCCAGCTGATGGACATCATCTGGGGAGCCACCAGACGAAAAAGATCTCCACCGAGGCTGGATCGAGTCCCTCAGAAGATCTCGAAGCGACTAAGATCCCCGTCCACTTGACCTCTGCTCCAACACAAGACACGGCTTGCCCGGGACCCATCGTTCCCTTCCTTCCGCGTTTCCGAAGCTTACCTGAGCTCCAGGTTCTCCAGGAAGTCTTCCATGGTCACCTGGTCCAAGAGGACAAAGTCAGCTTTGCCAAACTCTAGACTCTCTTGCTCGGCCATGGTTCCTGGAGAAGGGAGTCCACTTTCCGGCGGGAGAGCCCAGACGACCGTCCTCGCTCAGCAGAGGGGAAGACGAGTGAGTCAAGCTGGGTTGTTTCCGTCGGAGTGAGAAGGTGGAGCTTGTGGTTAGCAGAGCTAACCGCTTCCTTGCAGGTTCCACTTCCTGGATTGTTATTTGCTCTCGGGTGGATCTCACAGGAGGGATGGATTCTCCTGGGGGAGAGGGTCCCAAAGTCCTCCATGGAGAACTTAAACCCTAAATCCTGGAGAACTTGGGAGAACTTCATAGGAGACCACCAGAGAAGGCATATAATGTCTTCCAGAGGATGGCTCTTATAGGACAGATGGATTCTCCTGGAGAAGTGGGTCCCAAAGTCCTCCATGGAGCACCTATACCCTCAACCCTGGAGAACTTGGAGAACTTGATCAGAGATCACCAGAGAAGGCATCATAATGTCCTTCAGAGGATGGCTCTTATAGGACAGATGGATTCTCCTAGAGAAGTGGGTCCCAAAGTCCTCCATGGAGCACCTATACCCTCAATCCTGGAGAACTTGGAGAACTTGATCGGAGATCACCAGAGAAGGCATCATAATGTCCTTCAGAGGATGGCTTTTATAGGAAGGATGGATTCTCCTGGAGAAGTGGGTCCCAAAGTTCTCCATGGAGCATTTATACCCTCAACCCTGGAGAACTTGGAGAACTTCATAGGAGACCATCAAAGAAGGCATCTAAGGTCCTCCAGAGGATGGCTCTGATAGGACGGATAGATTCTCCTGGAGGAGAGGGTCCCAAAATCCTCCATGGAGAACTTAAACTCTAAACCCTGGAGAACTTGGGAGAACTTCATAGGAGACCACCAGAAAAGGCATCTAAGGTCCTCCAGAGGATGACTCTGATAGGACGGATGGATTCTCCTGGAGAAGTGGGTCCCAAAGTCCTCCATGGAGCACCTATACCCTCAACCCTGGAGAACTTGGAGAACTTGATCGGAGACCATCAAAGAAGCCATCTAAGGTCATCTAAAGGATGGCTTTTATAGAATGGATGGATTCTCCTAGAGAAGTGGGTCCCCAAGTCCTCCATGGAGCACCTCTACCCTCAACCCTGGAGAACTTGAAGAACTTCATAGGAGACCATCAGAAAAGGCATCTAAGGTCCTTCAGAGGATGGCTTATAGGACGGATGGAGGTCCCACCTCCTTCCTCCTCATTGTGGCTTCAAGATTTAAGAGGTTGGTCCCAAAACAGCACAAAGTTGTGACGAGGAACCCACAACCACAAAATTAAGGGGAAGTGGACACCCTCTCCCAGGACACAACGAGAACGAGAAGATGACGACTCAAAAACCTCCTTGATTTCTCCACCGTTGGCAGGTCCGTCCACTTCCACCCAATTCTTCCCTCGCAACCCGCTTCCACACAGCCAAACAACTTCGGCAGTTGTGCGACCTTGCGGCGTTGTGGCTCATCCAAACACTCAGCAGAAGGCATTTCTGGGTGCCAATTCACTAGTCCTCGACGTTACGACCGCAGTTTTGAGCCCCAACATTTCTGGTTTTGCCCCGACGGATCCCCGTTAAGGGAATTTCCTCCCGTCGTTAAGCGAGTCACAGGATTATGAAGCGAATCGGGGTTCCTCCATTGACTTTGCTGTGTCCGAAGGGGGCGGAAGGGGATCCCGTCACACACACACACACACACACACACACACACACACACACAGGGGACACTGTGGCCGTCGTAAATATGAAACAGTTTCCACTGCAGGCTTCGATCCAGACCACGGGTCTTCCAACTTGGCTCTTTTATGACTGGTGGGACTTCAACTCCCAGAATTCCTCAGTCGGCCATTTTGATGAAACTGCGGGCTTGGATCCAGACTCTCAGGGGTCTTCCAACTTGGCCCTTTTATGACTGGTGGACTTCAACTCCCAGAATTCCTCAGTCGGCCATTTTGATGAAACTGCGGGCTTGGATCCAGACTCTCAGGGATCTTCCGACTTGGCCCTTTTATGACTGCTGGACTTCAACTCCCAGAATTCCTCAGTCGGCCATTTTGATGAAACTGCGGGATTGGATCCAGACTCTCAGGGGTCTTCCAACTTGGCCCTTTTATGACTGGTGGACTTCAACTCCCAGAATCCCTCAGCTAGGCATGCTGGCTGAGGAATTCTGGGAGTCGAAGCCCACCAAGTCATAAAAGGGCCAAGTTTGAGGATCCCTGGTGTAGACCGTCTTGTAGAGCTTCGGTGTAGAAACCGCACTCGTACCCATTGCGCGGACAGACCCGAGGACGGACGGGCGCACAAAGACACCCTCCTGCAGGCGAAGCGACATCGTGCAGACCGACGAAATGTCGGTAGTCCTCAGTAATAATGGCCCGAGAGCACGGAGGACCCCACCATTCTGTTCCTTCTCCTCTCCGCAAATCCTTCCTCCCGTCTAGCCCTGATGATGTTCCCTAGTTGGGTCACGAGACGTCTGCAAGGAAACCACCCAGCTCAGGGAGCACCCAGGATCCCATAGTTCCTCCTCCTCCTCCTCCCCTTTTCCTTCTCTTCCCCCTCCTTCTCCTCTCCTTCCTCCTCTTTCCCTCCTCCTCCTCCATCTCCTTCCTCCCTTCTAGCACTGATAATGTTCCCTAGTTGGGTCATGAGACGTCTGCAAGGAAACCACCCAGCTCAGAGGGCACCGAGTCCTTTTCCACCTCCTCTCCTCCCTCTCCTTTTCCCTGCGTTCTCTCTACTCCTCCTCCTCCCCCTCTCCTTCCTCCCTCCTTCCTCCCTTTCTCTTCTCCATAACTCCCCCCTTCCGTATAGCCTTGATGTTGTTCCCTAGGTGTGTCATGAGACGTCTGCAAGGAAAGCACCCAGCTCAGAGAACATAAAGGATTCCACAGTCCTTCCTCCTTCCATCTTCCTTCCTCCTTCTCCTCCTTTCTCCTTCTCTTCCTCTCGGCAAAGCCTACCC